TGAGTTGATCGCCACCCTGTCCCCCACGCTGCCCAGCTCATACGACACCATAGAAAATTACACCTCGGATCTGTGCAACTTTCTCGACACTCCTCTAGTCCGTCAGATCACAGGCGGGATTCACGTCAACGACGCCCTGATCCAAAATGGCTGGCAGGCCCTGCCGCAAGAATGGACCGAGTGGTGGTCCGCGTGGCCAGACTACCGTCTAGCCCAGCAAGACCTCGTCGACGGCATTGACGAAGAAACCGAACCAGGCTCGCGTCTTGTCCAACAGCAGCCTAGACTCGCTGCCAGCCGGCCAGAATCCCTGACCACCTGGCTGAGCACCCTCAAGTCGCTCGCGCTTCCTCGCACCCAGCGCCCTGGTCCGGCGATCGCCCTGCCCAAAGTCTTGACCGCTCACATGGGTCCTAAAAAGATCTCCGAGGTCTCTTCCGGAGCTGCTTATATCCATGACGTCTGTCAGAGAAGAGGTATTCGCCGCATTGTCGACATGGGTTCCGGCCAGGGCTATCTGTCCATCAGCCTAGCCTACCTATTCCCCGGGCTGCAATGTCTCGCCATTGACGGCAGTGAATCCCAAGTCGCTGGGTCACGGGCGGTCGCTACCTCCCTGGGAATACCAGAGCACAGATTAGAGCAAATTGTTCACTGGATCGACGGCGCTCCGAGTTTGGCGTCCCGGATTCAAGACTGGGCCGATGGCGAGAGCTGCATGCTCGTGGGTCTCCACGCGTGCGGGAGTTTGTCAGAGCACATGATCAGGTATTTTGCCACGGTGCCTTGCATTGAGGCCCTGGCGGTGGTGGGCTGCTGTTATAATCATGTCGTTCCCCGGTCGCTCGACTGCCCGGCCGGGTTCCCCATCAGCGCGGCGTTGAGAGAACGCAACGTCGTGCTGAGCGCTACGGCTCTCATGGCGGGCTGTCAAGCGCCGAATAACTGGAAACGGCCGGGTCGCGGATGTAACCAGGAGGGAGAATCGGTGTTTGGCAAGCGTCGTTTGCATCGAGCAATCCTGGAGAAACTGTTGGACGACAAGGGAATAGAGGTGAGCAGGCAAGATGGAAAGAGGCCGGTATGGGGAATCCGGAAGCAGGACACGGCTAGTTTCGCCAAGTTTGCGCGGAGATCGCTGGACTGCCTGAAGATAGCTCATGACAGGGTTCCAGCCGCGGATCTGATGGCCTATGAAGAGCGATATAGAGACTGTGAGGGTCAGATTGCCATTCTTTGGACGCTCAGTGTGCTCTGCTGCAAGGTTGTTGAGAGTTTGATTGCCTTGGATCGCTACTGGTTTTTGAAGGAACAGGGAGCAGAGGGGGTAGATATTGTGCCTATTTTTGATGTCAAGATTTCTCCTAGGAACCTGATGATGGTGGCGGAGAAAGCAGGCCCTGGGCTGCCATAGCCGGGGACACATAGAGCGCGTCTCAAGATTCAGCCTTCATGCTGAGAGGACAGTGATAATACTAGCGATAGATTTGAAGCATTAGACTTTTGTCATGCACTCAACGAGGTGCCATGAAGACAGTGCCGATGGCCAACTCGAGCTAGAGAACCGGACATCTCAGCCTCTGTGTTCTATAAGGGGCTCCGGATGAAAACTAGGGCTTCGGGATTCATCGAGACCAGGTAGGCCGCAGTACATCCAAATCCCGATTAAAGAGCCACAGCGGATAGAAAATATGCAATCGCTTCTCATACCAACGAGACAAAGCCAAGTCACGAGTGTCTCGGGCGATGCCAAAACACGAGAAATGCAGTTGCCTTGGCCGTAACCAATGTATCCACAAGTCGGTGAATCAGCCAGTGTAAGTATGTACATTTATTATGATGCCTTGGATATATCCAAGTCGTATTTAGGAGTTCAGTCTGGATAATATCACGCCCGCCCATCGACCAGAAACCAGGAGTCCAGAAATACAAATTTCCCAGCAAGTGTCATATCCTCGTAGCATCCGAAGAGGTGTCAATCTAAAAACCTCATCCCTCAAGTAAAAAACCCAAAGATTTTTTCGAAATTCAGAAAAGAATCCATAATACATGAAACTTAGTAACCTGCAATATACGAGCTCCCTTCCGGTTCACTGATACATATCTCCGCCCGCCCGTTCACCACCTGTTGCGAGGCCGGTACTCCACGGCATGGCCACGAAGCCCGGCAGCATCGCGGCATGCTGCTCTCAACTGTGGGAGACCACATTGTTCTATTCGGTTTCGTAATCAAAATAGCTCAATTGTTGTTCATTCCGGTTCGGCAAGACTTGCAGTTGCTGCTGTTGTGTCTCCTCATCTTGTTCCTGCTCTTCATGCTGATACTGCTCCCAATTCTGCTGCTGTTGGTGCTGAGTTGTGCTATTATAGAACACCCCAGGAAATGTGTCAAATTCAGATGGATATCCTGTCCACTGTCCCGTATTCAACTCAGCTGATGGGCATGGAAAGCTTTCTTGTTCTTCCTGTCCGAGACTGCCCACGCTATGTAGTGCGTTCGGCAAATCGTATGTAGAGGGCCCTGGACTTGCGGGCTCTGCAACACCAATGGCTGGTTCTGAATACTGGGAAAGGCGAGTTATATAAGTATATCGTGCATTGTGTGGGTTGTTTTGCTGTTGCGTAGGCATTTCATCCTGGGGCATGGAGCCCCTCGTGATATGGTGACTCTGGATATGAACGCTCTGGCCCATCGGGCTATGCACCCCTCGCCTCTCAGACACCCAAACACAATCATGTGTTTCTTGGTTTTGTTGGTCAAACTGTTGATCATGTTGGTCACGGGAAGAGTTTCCAGACTGAGAACCTGAAGACGATTTAGCCAACCAGTCTTGGAATGTCGCACGAATAGTTTCAGGAACAATAATCTTTGTCAGCTCTTCATAAATGTCCTGTGACATTCGCTGTCTTAGGTCATTTATCCTATTTTTGAAATTGAGTTCAAGAGTATGTGCAAATGCCGCATACGGCTGGGGGATGACGTTCTCAAAATACGGGCTGCTTGGCAAAGGGTCGTTTGGGAAAATAATTCGGAAGACCTTATACCAGCTGTCCTCACTCTTGGCCGTCATTTTTTGCCCAAATTGTTTTATGTGGTCAGCCGTAATAATTCGTGGCTCATTGTGACGGTACAAGGCACGAACAAGGTCGAGTGCGACTTGGATAAAGCGATTATTCACAAGGAGAAAAAGAGAACCCCTAAAAGGAACTCTGGCTGAAGCTTTTTACACAATGTTCACAAAGTGAGACATTCATTAAACAGGCAGGTCACATGATCCCCTCACACTCATGGCCTTTGTTCGTCTTACCCTCATTAGAATGATGTCGTTGCAGATGTTGCTTGACACGGGATACATTCGAAAAGCCAATTTTATGGCAATTTGGGTAATAGCTGTTAGATTGCTTGGCTATGGGACAATCCCACCTTCGGTTGGAACTTGGGGAAGGGTCAGATGACGAGCTCCCCTCGACATGCTCATCTGTGATGTTGTTCACTGGCTCGCTTTTTCCCGGCTGCGCTGGGCGTCGTTGATGATCATCTGCAGGCGGCGACGAAGCTTTGTGTTTTCCATTTCTTGATCCAAATATATTTCTGGCCTCAAGATGTGTCGTCCTCACTGGGGAGGGCTGTGGGTATAGGCGAACTCGCGTTGGGGCCAAAGAGATGTTCGCAATAGTGGCTGGCCTTGCTGGCGGTAACATGACGGATTCTCTGTCGCTGAAGATTTCGCTATACTCTTGATTGGTCCCAGACCAAGATGTAATGTCTGTGGTTGTTTGCCCTACCCCAATCTCCAAAGCCCCCGGTGGCATATTTGATAACGGTAGATCATTTGGCGTAACTTTTTGGTTATCTCGCCAACCTAGCGCACCGTCGAACCTGTTTCCATTGGATCTGACACCGTCCAAAGTCTTTGGATATAAGTCGCTCCCCAACGGTGTTAGCCCAGCGGAGCGGCTCGCTGCTTGGTCACCACCTGAAGCCGTATAGCTGCGTTGTGAGTATTCTAGGCCAGCATAACTAAGCCCGTTTCCAAATTGGGCTTGGGGATTTGTTCTGTCCTTGCGTTCTCGCCGCCCCGGGATGGAGACATCCTGATTGACGACTGGGATTGGAACGGCGCTGTGTGAAGAGGTCAGTCATCGGAACAACGATTGTTTAGCAGCCCCATAACATGGCTTTGAGCAGCTGCCGTCTTCCACAGTGAACAAATAAAAGGTGATTTGGAATTGGTAAAAAAGAGAGGCATGTTCTAACGTCAATTGACCAACACCACGGTCATCATACTGTGGGCGGTTATAGCCAGGGTCGCAAGTGCTTGATGCCTCAAATGTCTGGTGCGACAGGCCTTCAGAATAATCATGCCATCCCCCTGTATGAGCCGCTAGGTTTGAGCCTGAGGCTCTGTCAGCTCCGTCGCAAAAAGCATAACAAGGCGCTCATAAAGTGCGGGATGTCCAACGTCATACCGTGATCGGGGAGCCTCGCAGCTCCTGTAGTGTGTAAAGTCTCTTGACCGTCGAATGTAGTCTCCCAAAATGAGTCGTTTGATTGCAAATCCATGCTTGGTGTTCTGGTCAGACGGATGCAGCTGTGTTACATTTATGCATGAATTAATCATCTGACAGGCGCCCGCTGTAGAAATGAAGCTGCCGACCGCCGCTTGGCCTGAAGAGTAAGAGCGCAACTTCGAATCCGGCGAGAATGAGGAGGGGGATATGCTTAAAAGGCAAAATTCCAGTCGAGGTCTGGACCCAAGGATTTCGGTGTATGCTGCCACGTCCCTTGCACTGCCTTCTTGTTCTGTGTAGTGGTCTCCCAAGATAGGCAAATGGTCTTCAACTTTGTCCAAAGCAAGAAGATACTCTCCGAAATATCTTGACCAAATGGAAAAAGGACACTTCTAGTAGCACACAGGGGGTTCAGAGCCGGTCGGTGGGTGGGGAAGAGCAGAGAAAAGAAGACAAGCAAGGGAGCTGGGAGAGTGTTGACGGCTCTAATCTGGTTGCTTCACCAAAAGGTCAAGTACAGTCTGATCACTTTGTATAAGAAGGCGCACCCCAGTCCGCGGGGAGTTACAATGCTGCGACTTGGAAACAGCGCCAGGATATACGGTGTTGACACAATGGCTTTCAAGGCTCTTGACCGACTTGTTAAGCTTCTGAGCTGTATTGCCTCAATTTCCTCTTTTGGATCGACCTTGGGTGCACGGCTCAACTGATCCGACAACGTTGCAACGCGCGAATGCCGTCTGCTGCATGTTCAACACAACTGCGTCCGCTCAACGTGGTTGCCTTTGGGGGCGATGGGTGAGGCGCAACAATTCCAACAAAAAGGCGACTTCGCACACAAAACCAAAACAAAACCTTTCTGTATAGTGGTCATGCTTGCCGTCACATCCTTGAACACTTCCAGCACAGCCGACCAAGAGCGTTTCTGTATAAAATCAAACAACCACAACGTACAGCGGTGAAGTAATCAGCGCATTGTTCCGGGCAGATCGCTTTCATGACTCCTAGTATGAGATCGCCAACTGTGGCATCTACTACACATGGTATTCAGCAGCGTGCGAACAGTTGACACGCACTATACATGATCATCGGCGGTGTGCCAAGTTGGAGGCACGCCACGGCGAAGGCGCATGTGTCCAGCCTCGTTAGCAAACACTGTGCATACGGCGAGAGCACACCCTGGCTTCACCCAAGAGTTTTCGTTACATTGACAAGCTTGTGTTCCCTTTAGCTCTCAGATAAATATGGAGAACGGGCCGCGCAAACGGGGGAGTCGGCGGACCCGGTGAGCGACAATAACATGAACCGGCCATGCGGCTCAAGCGGTTCGCTCAGTGGCGATGAAGCTTTTAAGAAGCAACATGGACGTATCCCGATCATGGGGTCCCTGGAGCAAGTATGAGCGTCCCGACCCTCTTGCCCAAAAAATGCGCATTACGCCCTTCCTCCGCGACTACATGACACCCTCCACACGCCAACGCACAGCCAACTCATGTGCTCACCGGTGCCGAGACAGGGACGGCAACTACAGAATTTTGTTTATTCAATATTTACACTTTGAAGTGATGTTTCTGGCATTGGGTGTCGCCTGTCAGGCAATTCGCTTCACACACACGCTCTCTCCTTCACCACCAGCACGAGGTAATAGCACGGTTGGGATGCGGGGGCCTGACCTACCTATTCATCGCTGACAGCAAGGTAGACAGCATGTCTGGTAGTCAGATATTGGTGGCTTGCGGGACTTGAGCAATGCTACCCTATTCTCCAGGGCTTCTGGCCGCATGGAGGTTGCCTTGATGCAGAGGAACAGCCCCAAGGCGTTGGCGGCGTCTTGTCCCCGATCCCCTCTCGTCTTGTCAAAGACTGAACACAGACGACGTGTCCATCATTGTTGTGCATTTT